GCCTGCCTCTGCCCTACCTCCTGTCCCCATTTCAGAATGAAAATACATTCCAAAAAGTGAGCATTTCCCAAAGGACAAAAAAGTGAAGTTTTACCGAGGTTGAAGTATAATCCTTTGACCAGTCCACCTTTCTTCAGGTGTCACTTTCTAAAGTCCTGCCTTTTCACTTCAGAGCAGTGTGGGTTCAGCACAGCCATCCCGGAAAGAGCCTTTTGGAGGATGTAGCACATATAAAGAAATCAACAGAAAGTTAAGCCCTGAATTTCTAAAAATCATTCCTGGGCATCTACAACTGACCTCTCCCAAAAAATACTTTTACACAGCCTGGCTATATTTCCACAAAAAACCCAGAAATCACCTCTCTGTTCTTAGGCATGTGTACCTGTTAAATTTCAACATTTTATTCCATGGCTAGAAGTTGTTAAGATCTCCTCAGAGATCTTATAAAAGGGAAACTTTTTTGAGGGGAATGGTTCTCTACAACCCAAAAGGCAGAGGCAGCACATATGAATTAAGTATAAAGATGAGGGCTTGACTTCTTCATATAGGAAGTTCCTTTCTAGCAAATGAATTGGACAGAACATGCTACAGAAACATGCATGTGTGTGTATCTCCATACTTTCATGGTCTTGCCTGGCAAAGTAGCATTTCTAATATGCTTTCAAATCAAGTTCCATCAGTGTGGGATTTTACCCTTTTTTTTTTTTTTTTTTTTTTTTTTTTTTCCCAATAATGGATTTAGGTTGTAGTCTGCCAACATTTACTGCCTGAAGCTTCACTTCAGGCTGCAGGGGAAGCTCTGCAAGCCCACTTCACTGCTGGGGCAGTGAGAAGGTGAGAGCTGCCTGGGAGGTAGAGGTGGCACTCAAAGGACTGGACACGTGGTGGTTGCTGGTTGCAGATGACTGGAGTGTCAGTGCCAAACACATGCAGCCTGACTGTCTTTGAGGGGAAAAGTCTGAGTGCATACCTCAGCCTTCTGGAGATCTTAATCATGGCTGATTTATTCTCGAGACAAAATTCAACAACTTCTGGGGACTTCGTAAGAACACTTAGCACAGTCCAAATAATATCATCACCATAAAAATCTCTTAGGCTAAAATGGAAATAGATACTTGCAGAAGATTTTTCTTTCTTTCCTTAACACAAAGATTTGAAAGGAGGGAAATGTACCACAGATAAGCAATTCCTTTCAAAGGGGTTTATTTATATACCTCCATGTGAAAGCAGTTGGTAAGGGAAGAAAAAATAAAGTAATGCTCTGCAATAAAATTTGTACAGATGTAGCTTTTTCTGAACTGACATCCCGTTTCTGAAGAATTCAATGTAGCCTTTAGTCAGCCTTGTTTCTTACAGTTCTCTGTGCTTTGCATGGTAATTAGCTGCTCGTGTTATCAGCAGCACGATGCTCCAGGCTATTTCTTCAGCAGCCTCTGCTGTTATCCTGGGCGGCAGCTCCTCGCATCCTCCTGCCAGACGCCTGAGTGCAAATGTTTGGTGTTCTCCAAGCTGCCCTGGCTGAGGAGCCAAGGGGATGGGTGCAGCATCGGAGAGGGAAGAGGCTGGAGCCCACTTCCCCCGACAGCCCCCTGAGCCTTGCCAGTCTTTTGCTGATGGTTCATTGGAGGTTCAGCGAGGCGAGTTTGCTATGACAGATCACAAAATGCAAAGGGAGGCAAATGCAAAGGGAGCTGGGTTCATCAATGTCAGGAGAAATGCAAGGCAGCAGCTCCTTGGCTTAGCTGGGAACAGCAGCCACAAAGCCTTAAGTTTGTTTTCTTTTTTTTTTTTTTAATATATTTTTAAGTATCATTAAAGCATTTATTGCACAAGTCTACTGTAGTAGGCAGGCTATCAAGAGGGTGGAGGGAGTGTTTTGCACTAATTGCCAGCACTTCCAACACCAGCTTTAGGCAGGTGCTGCGTCACGAAGCCAGCGCCGACGCAAGAGTGTTTGGATCAGGCAAGTTCACTGATGCAAGTATTGCATGGAGTGCTCTGTGCCGTTTTTTGCCTGCAGATAGTGCAATTTCTTATTTGAATTCAGAATTCAAGAAGCATTTACCAGCTTTCACTTTTTTAAATAATTAAAATATGGCTAAGAAGTTAAATTCAAGTTGCCAGATTCCTGGGCAGTGTGGGTTCCTCTATAGTGTGAGTAGAGATGTAGCAGGGAAGAGAAGCATTTATAATAAGAATGAGAAGTCTTTTCCATGTCAACAAACACAAACACCTTTCAGACATAGCTTAGATCCCACAATAACACCCTGTATTCTATTATATATCTTGAAGAAAAATAAATTATATAGCTTCAGGCCATAAAACCCTGAAGTTTCTTGCTGTGTGTAGAGCATGGTCTCAACTTTTCTCCTCTTATTCTAGAAAATTTGATATCACCAGTAATGTAAGATCCATACAAGTATTCAAAGTAAAAATAAAGGCTTTTAGATTTTACTTTCAAAAGATGAAGAACAATGAAGGGGGGTTTCCAAATACTGTTTTAATTTTTACGTATCTTGTCTTTAAGTTTGTATTTCCTTTTTTGGTGTTTGTTTGGTTTTTTTGGTGGTTTTGTTTTTCACTTTGGAAAGGCAGTGTGATGATCTTGAGAGAAATGTGAAGAGTATTTTTAGTCCCTACCAAGAGATACGATGTGCAAGGGAGAACAGCTAACATAATAGTTTTTGTGATAATGGAAAGTGTAATTTCTTGGTGATGAATATTTGCAGACTTACCACATTACACTTCTAGGAGGGATATTTAATTTTGTAATAAAAGCTTTTTCCTGAGCCTACTCTGAAGTAGCCTATTGCCAAATTTACCTTCAGTAGTTCTGCCTTCACACAAAAATAAAGAGCATAATTTTACCATATGTTCAATGTATTGTATACAGCATAAGAGGGCAGGTCATCTCATCCCTCCTTCTGTAAGATGGCAATGGACTAGAATAGCAAAATTGAAGCCAGGCATGACATTAATTTCTCTGTAAATGAGGTTTTTGTGATGAGGGCTTTATACTCTCCATTATTATTGGGATAACAGGACATAGAGTGGGGTTTGGGAAAGGAAAACAAGAAAGTGGGGGAGGAACACACAGAAAAGAGATAAATAGCTAATGTGAATTTTACAGTTCTTAAATATCCAGAGATTGTCATGGTGTTTCTGGCTGTCTTGTTCTCCTCATTTGCAACATGAACTATTGCACTCCTGCTACAGCAGCAGGAAGGTTGCACACGAATGTTGTGGAGCTCCTTGGGGACAGGGCTGGAATCAGAACAGGGCTATCTGCTCAAGACTGCAGCTTCTCTTCAGCATCTCTACAACAGATACAAGTAATTCTCAAAAGATTGACTTTATAGCATGCTTAGTTACTTTCCCTTTGAAATCAGTGGTGTGACCGTAAAGCTGATGGACTGTGTTGCACCAAAAGGAGTCACAGCAATTAATTTGTTTAACAATCAAGAGCCATATTCAGCAAAGATTTAGCAGAAGTGCTGACAATAAAGCACTTACAGCTTTCTATGAATTGGCATGAGATAACAGCCACAAAAAATTATGAAACATAAATTGTTCTCCTGAATATGCATGGCTGTTGTACTTCTGAATTCCTCAGTCATTCAGCTGCAGGTGGGGAGTGCCAGTAACAGGGTCCATGAGCAAGACTTGCACAAAGGGACTAGTATAATCATTTGGATCCAATAGGCATAAAGATACCCATTTCTGAAAGTGCCTTGTGATTTTTTTGGGTGGCCAAAAAAATCTGTGGTAGAGAAGTCTGATTTCCAGGTCACAAGAGCTCAGCACTTTGGAAAAAGAAATTGCTTTGATATTTCTCTAGGTAGGTGCATGAAAACTCAGAACCTCCAGATGATTTTTGAAAACAAGAGCAAAGACCAAGCTCCCTTCCCCACTATCTCTTTTGGGTCAGTAATTAATTATATTGGGTTTGTTTCTATCCCTGCTTCCTACATGAGAAGACCTCAAGCCCCAGTCTGTTGCCTCCTGAGTTAGTTCTTTTCCACAAAAGGAAGAAAACTTTCCTTTGGGGAAGTGTCAGGGAATTTAGTCTGGTGAAGTAAACCCCCGTGCTGCAGCTGCCTCCTGGATCTTCTGAAGAGCTTCAGGAGGCAGACACACCCTCAGCATGGGTACCTCTATCAGTGCTGTGCCCTCTCTTGCCAGGGAACTGTGGGCAGGAATGGGTATAGCAGTCTGCTGTCTCCCACTGCCTCATCTTTGCTGGCAGAAGTTTGAGTCCTAATGGACAACCAAGCTGAGCATGTAGGTGAGGCACTGGTTGGATGGTTGCTCTAGGGGAATAGCTACTCTGACAGATCCATGATTTTCCCTCTCCTTCTCTGGAGGAAGCCATACCATTTAGAAGAGAGTTATTCCTCTGTGCCTTCAGTCCCACAACCTTTGAGTGGGTTTAGGAGTCAGCATTTTAGGAAATCACAGCCTTCTCACAGGGCTGCTGTGCTGCCCAGCGTTGCTGCCTGTGTTGCAGTCCCTGCAGCTCTCCCCTCAGCATCGCAGCTGCCTCTGCTCTCTACGTTGTCAGCCCTTCACATAGGCAGTGTCACGGCAGAGTCTTCCCTGCACAAAGGATGCCAGAGACATTATTTATTTAGCATAAATAAATGCACATATTGGATCTATGTACATTCAATTACTGTTTTGTTTATGCTTACTCATATGCAGTATGTCCAAAAGAGCAGGAGCCACACCCAAAAGTTGTGTAAACAAAATCCTATGAATTTATACAAATATGTTGCAATCATATGTAAACACTACAAATATTACATCTTCCTGTAGTGCTGATGGGGAATAATTTGAGAATTTTAAGCAGTGCAACTTTTCAGACACTGGAAAGACTTGGCCTCATTTTGAAGCTGTAATAGAGGTTGGAATATAATTCATGTGACAAGCAGGTCCTCAAACCTGCTGTTTGTTGTTTCTTTTTAAAACACAAACAAATAATTTTCTTGTTTTGTTTACAGGACAGTGGAACAGGAGATAACAGCTGCATTGAAGAAATATTGCGGGTAGGAATGCTTAAAAAAAATTCTCTTCCTGTGCCATTTTGTTTACTCTTAAAAGGCAAGAGAACAACAAGAATATTGCAATTGCTGTTGTTAAAAATACTGCCCTTTTAGATTGTCGTCTTTCTAAGGAAAATATAGGGAAAAAAATTTCTTCATGAAAAATAATTGAAAAATCTGTGGCAACAACCTTCCAGAGCCTCTGGATTTCCCTGTTACTGTGTGCCAGTACAGCTGACCTTCATGCATGCAGAAGCAGATAATGGGATAAATTATAAACTGAAATGTACAATGATGTTTCAGGTTTACAAACCATGCAAAGTGCATGTTTCCATTAATCATGACTGTCAAAAATCTTAATTTTGAAGGGAGGTCTAGGAAGGTCATTTTCCACCTGGATTTAATTAGAATCCATTATGTAATGTCATTATGTCCATTATGTCCATTGTATAACAATGATGTGCAAAATCCATAGTTATTTCGAAATTTCATTATTTTTTCTTTTATCTTAGTAGTTTCTAGTTTATTTTCATGGAGCATATTCTTGGCTTGAATCAACTTTGATATTGATTATTTTTTGAGGCAGACAAATTTATAAACAGTGAAACATTTTAATACATTTTAACTCCTTCTTGTTTTTTTCGGTTCTTTTTGTAAACTGATAATTCAGTAATTTTCAATGCTTATAAATCTAATATAATAGTGAGTGAAACAACAAACAAGGTAGATGGAATGGTAAAACCTCCCTATTGCTGTGGGTGCTTCCATTTCTTGGATACCCACTAACCAAATATTTCAGATTGTTTATAAACCATGGGGCTATAAATATTTGGTTTAGAGATTAGTAGTGCATTAAGCCTGTTGTTTGTAAAGGCATTTCTCCATTCTCCCTGAATATGTTAAATGCAGCTTTTAATTCTTAAACTGGACAAAGAGTTTATCGAAGGGTGATGATGATGGATTGCTTATGACTTCACTGGCAGAGCTTTTACTTAGCTAACGTTTACAAAGTAGGCTTTTATAGGACTGAACTGCATATTGAACAAGCCGTAGTCTCAGTTCCTGCTGTTTTGTTACAAATTAGTAGCAGATAGTATAATTCATGAAAGCTTTTTACATTTTTCACAATGCACTAAGTATATGATGTGAGGCTCACTCATCCCTTTTTTATGCAAGGCTTTTGAAATGAACAGTGGAAGAAGCTAGACTTCCTCCTTACCTTGTGCAATTTGGCTTGTGCAATTAGCGAAAAATGTGGAAGAGATGTGATTCCTTCCACTCAGAGGAATGTGGATATGTAAGAGACCCCAGCTGAGAAGAAAAATGCACTGTATAACTGGGGATGGTAAGGTGCATCTCCAAAACGGTGAACACAGCTGCTGCTGCTCTTTCTTTTTTTTCTTTTTTCTTTTTTTTTTTTTCCCTTTGGGAATCTTCATCAAGAAATATTTTTGTGAAGCTTCAAGATGAACTGTTAGGACATCCTTGGATGGGCACGACCCTTTTGTTTGTGAGGATATTTTCCCAAATTCATTCACTTTGCTTAAAAACTTAATAAAACAACCCAGAGCTTAAAAGCCACATTTCAGTGTCTCACTATATGCTCACTTAGCACGGCTTAAATAGAGAACAGATGGATTCCATCCGCTGATTCTTGTCCTCACATGAATACTCAACCATCATGGGTAATACCTCCAATCTGTCCATCCTCCAGGTCTGCAGCCTGGGCATCACTTTCTGTTCTTCACTTCCTTTATGTCTCTGCATCTCAGGATACAAGTAAATCTTGCAGACAGTTACTCTAGAGCATTCCTAGAAGAAACTACTCATGAAGGTGCAAGTCTTAGGTCCAAATTCTCATTGCGTACCTTGATTGCTGCAACAACCTTTCCTTGGTTTTGACAAATGCAGTGTTACCCACCTTCATTCATGCTGCTGTGCAGATAATTTTCCTTTCTTGACATCTTCCCCAAAGACATTTGTCTTTGCATATAACCACTGTTGTCTCCTCTGTTATATCAAGTAGAGATACTTGTCTCTGATTTTAAGGCCTCCCTTCAAAATTAAGATTTTAGACATATTAGCTCCCACTTTAGCTTAAGTGGTGATGCCAGCTTCTGTCACCCTCATGCTAAGTTTTACACCAATTAATTTCTCCCATGCTTCCCATAAGATCTGAAAACAGCCTTGAACGCTTTACCAATTAATTCCATACCTACCTTCAGATCCTCTCTTAAGAGCCTCTTCTTCCACAAGGACTGTAGAAAAACAGTGATGAGGTCAAGGCTACATCATTGTTTCTCATGCTTGACCACTGTTGTCCCACTTGTCCCTTCTAGTGCCCAGTCAGGCCAGGTGTATCCATCTGCTCTCTTTTGTCCTGAACAGTGAACTTCCTTTGTCAGGGAACTGCTGGGTAGTATAAAAGCAGTGCTTTGGAACCCTCCCAGTACAAATCCATGTCAGCAGTGGTTACTAATACTGATAATTAGTGAAAGCAGCAACAATAATAAAGCACCATTTCTTCTCGGTTTGTAAATTACTGACATTTTTACTTTTCCAGCTCCCTCTGTGCCTTCTTTCTGTGCTTAACATATACATTCAGTTGTAACACAGATATTCTGGTTTTATGAAACAGATTACCTATAAGGAATGCCATTTCTGTGTTTTTCTTGGAGGTGCTAGTCATATAGTAAAGCCAAAGTTTAGCTTCTTTATGGACAGAATAGATGTAGCTTCTCTATGGGTTCCCAGAGGCAGAAGAATGAAAAGCCACAGGAGCTGCAATCCTTGTGTTCCCCTCAGAAAAGATGTCTCTTTGCTGGTGCACTGAAATGTATTTATTATAGGAAGAGACACTACTGTATGGAGCATCACAAAAAGGAAGAAGATGCTTGAAAATTATCTTTTTGTGAACACTGCACCCTGTTGTAGCTGTTCCTTGTGCAACACAAAGCAGAAAACATCCTTTCTATATAGCGTGTTCCCTGCATAGGTCAGGCTGTGGCTGGGTAATTCCCACAGCATGTCCATGTTTCTGCAGTCAAAACCAAGGGCAGTTAAAAGTGTGCCCCAGCTCTGTTCCGTCAGCTTTCCTCTGTTCCCGTCCCTCACCACATGAGAGTGGTGGATTGTGCACAGAGCTTGTTAACCTCTTCTTTCAGGACAGTGCCAACAACTGGACCTGGGCTGCAAAATCAGTTGAGGCATAGCTTTAACATCACCAAAACTTATTTTCAACTCACTGTGATGAGAACTTGTAGTCTTTGTGCTGTCTGGTGCAGCAGGGTGCCACTGTTAAGCCTACCCTTTTTTGATGTTGTTTTACTAAATGTATCAGAGCTCTATAGACACTGTAAATTGGCAGATGATTCTGCATGAGACTGCAGCTTCCAAAGAAAGCCCTCAAGAGCTGAGATGTAGAAATGCTTCCAGTCCTGAAGGAGGTTGATTAACAAGACAGTAACCCTGTCGAGATCGGAGCTGTTGTAAGGACTCCCGCTGAGTTTATAATCACTGCAGGAATCCTGAACCTCATCTAACCCCATGCACTAATTTATAGCAACTTCTTCAAAGTGCCGTGTCTTCTCTGTTCAAATGCAGGCACACATGTCTAGTAGGGAGAAACTTCTGAGAGAGCCTTCGATGTAAATAACTCCAGTAAGACCAAGTTACAGATGTAATGTCAAATCAAGAGAGAAAAGCCTCATTGCTTGACAGTAGCTGAAAAAGGCAATTCCTTGTAAGCTTTTTCACTGTAACCTTTTTCATTGTTGATGGAGAACATGGTACAAACTTTGAAGTGGAAAATAAAAGTTAAAGCTAAACAAATATCCTTTATTCCACTATGCTCAGAGCAGCTACTACCTGAGTTTCTGAGACACCACTAAAGCCAAGCTATTCATCACTTCCTTGCTGAAAAACAGGCTTGCTAAGCAAGATTGGTAATTTCAGCTGATTTTATTTTATTAGTGTGGAACTGTGTTTGGAGTCAACCTTTGTTTTGCTGTAGTACACAGGAAAAATGGGATCAGCAAGAGTCCTGCTGCTCCACTAAGTTCAGATGTACTCTGAGTCTATTTTCTATGGATTTGAGGAGAAAGGGAGGGTGTCAGGTGTAGGCAGTTCTTGGTTTGTAAGATAAGTGGTTGGAGATTGATCTTGCTATTCTTACAGTCTTAGCTGCAATTTCCTAGAGTCATGTGGTGGCTTTGTTGAAAGGAAACCCACAGGCAAGCTGATCTTTTAATTATTGAAGGTGTTCCTTGTGAATTCCCTGTTTTTTTAATGTGTTGACATGAGCAGTGTCGTTGAACTGGGGAGAGACAAACGTAATTTGAATGTTTGGCCTGCAGTGTCTGACTGCAGGATGCAGAAACAGTGGGAAGCTGATGGAGCAACAGGAACACAGAGAAAAGGCTGGAGGAAAAACAAGCCTGGCTAGTAAAGTGGAAGAAGCCACCTCCTTTGGGATGCTGTGGAGCAGTGGGGAGGCAAGGCGGGGTGTGGGGTGGAGGACAGGTACGTTTATTTCAGGGAAGATAGAAAAGTAGGTGGGGAGTGTCATTGTTTAGGCCCAGCTGGTAACAACCTGGTGTCTGCTCACTTATCCCTCCCCATCTCTTCCCCTCCTCCCCTCAACTGTGGGATGGAGAGGAGAAAATCCAACTAAAAGACTGTGAGTCAACAGGGAGGTTTTCACTCACCAATTATAGTCCCAGGCAAAACAGACTCAAGGGGGGAAAAAATTTTATTTATCAGAACAGGAGAAAAAAGAAAACAAGACCAGATTTTAAATGCCTCCACCCATGCCTCCCTTCTTCCCAGGCCCAAATTACTTCATTCCTGCCTCTCCCTCAGCAGCACAGGGAGATGGGAAGTGGGGGTTTCCAATCGATCCATCACATGTTTTCAGTTGCTCCTTCCTCCTCAGGGGGAGGACTCCTCACAGTCTTCCCCCGCTCCAACATGGGGTCCCTCCCACAAGGTAGAGTCGATCAGAA